TAATAATAATAATAATAATAATAATAATAATAATAATAACAATAATAATAATAATAATAATAATAATAATAATAATATTCGCATCTCTTTTCTATCAATCTCTTGACCAGGTGAAGTCCAAGTTGTTCAAGGTGAAAATTCTCATATATTTCTTTATTAATAACCATAAGTTCTTATAATTACCTATCACAAGAAAATTAGCTTTCACAAAATTAATAGACTCTTAACTTTCTGCTTTATTTTATCTCAAGTTCTAATAACTTTCTTACTTTAAAAAAAAACTTTAAAATTCTTAAAAATATAAATAAAAAATTCTAAAAATATGCTAAATAGCGTTATTTACCATGCATGGTGTTTTGAATATTTTGAGTTTATTTGGGAAGCATAAAATATTTTTTCTTTACTTCTTTTCATTTTCTCTAACATATATCACTTTCTTATATTAATAATATGTCAAAAAAAACAGAAAAAAATACTAATAATTCTTTTAAGACATCTTCCACTTCCACCTCCTCTATAGACTATCTCAAAAATGCTCTAGATTTACAATCTTCTCCAATAGTGAATAAGTCTGCATCAATTTCTTCTGTTCTAATTACTGATAAAATTTCAGACATAACTTCCAAAAAAATCATCTCTAGCTCACATAAAAATTCATATGATCACCCATCTCCTACATGTAATCCACATGTCAAGTGAGCTAAACAGGAAAGATCCCTATCCAACATAACTAATAAAACAAATCCCTCTCACTCAGTAGATAAGCAAATACTATCACATACTAATTTAGACATGATTAATAATTAACATCACATGGAAATTAAATCATATGATCAGGACTATACTGAAGATGAAAATATATCATTATATAATAATTATGAAAATAATGAAGATATTTTCTTGGATTAAGATTCACAGAACAATTAATAAGAGATCATTTCTAGCATAAAAAGATTTCATGGCTGGATCTCAGAAACAAATCTGCCTAATCAATCTTCTAAAGAAAATATCAATTTTATTAATAAGCTATTTTATGAACTTTATGGATTTCTCAAATCAAAATCAATTATTAGCAATAAAGAAAAATACATTTATGCAGAATTCTTGTCAGTAAAAGTCTTGGACAAGGTAATACATACAGTCAACCCCCTATTAATATGACATCATCAGTTCTGAATATTTTGATTATAATAATGGGGTGCCATAATATAAATCATATTATAAATAAAGTTAAATTTATTAATAAAATGATAATTAAATAGGTTTTACATAATCATCAAGAGTTTTTTGAGTTTTTCTTTCAATAAACATACTATTAAGCTTACAAGTAAGCTTTTGGAGAATGGTAAGTCGATTTTGAGTAGATAAAGAAGGATCTTCTTGCTAAAGAAAAAGAAAAATATTATGAATAGAAGAAAGAGCTAATGAAATTAATATTTTAAGAAACTCTGGTCCATCATTATCACTATTATCAGTATCATCTGATTGACTAATAGTATTCACTATTTCTTCAATGCTAAGCATGTGATAAATAGCTTCATTTTCAGCAGGAATGTCAATATATTCTTGAGAATTCAAGATTTCGTAATTTATCAAAGATTCAAGAACATTCAAAGCTGAATTTAATTATAATTCTTCATCTTGTATATTGGTCTCAACAAAATATGTGGCAACAGTCATGTCATTAGTATTCATAATACCCATTTTTTTCCAGCAATTCGAAATGATAGTAGTAATAACTGTATCTCAAGCACTGGCAATATTATATATAGCATCTAATAAAGTCAGAGGTATATTCATAGTATCATTTTCATATTGCTGAAAAAGCTAATAAATGTGAAGATTACGATAATGAACTTTGAATAATTTTATTATTCCAGCATCTAGTGGTTGTAAATGACTGGTAGTATTAGATAGAAGAAATTTGATCATGATATTGCTAAGTGTGAGATCATATTTAATGTGTTCTGATACATTATCAAGAAGAAGGAGAATTTGGCGATTCTGAATATGCATTTGAGCATCTAATTTTTTAATCCAAGGTTCAAATAAAATACCAGTCATCCAAGTCTTTTTATTAAAGATGTAATTAACTGATAAATTATTTATGTTGATTCTACGAAATAGTTGTGGTATCTTTGCATGACTGATAACAAGTAGACGGATTTTTTCAGTACCCGATGAATTGCAACAAAGTATAACTGTAACTTGATTCTTTAATACTTTTTTTCTAGCACATGATGTGATAGCAAGTGTTTTGTTTGGCATCATTTTCCAAAAGAGACCAGTTTCATCAGCATTAAAAATATCATCAAGATGATATGTTGAAAGAAGTTCTTGAAGAGTGGCATGAAACTCAGGAAGATTATCAAGTGGGACACTATCTGCTTCACCATGTAATGTGATTTGATGTATACTGTAACGAATTTTGAACCGATTTAACCATCCATTTGATTTTCTGAAAGTTTCATTATTTATACCTAGTTGTGTAGCAATAAGACCTGCTTTTTCCAATAGAATAGTATCAGTAACAAAGATACTAGCATGCATAGCTCCAAGATACCACATCTATAATCCTTCTTTTATTTGAGGAAATCTTGGTGCACACTCACAAATATATTTTTTTCTTTGATCTACATCATAATTTAGCCACTTGTCTTTTTGTTAAAGCAATGTGGTGATAAAGGTACATATCTTCTGAAACTTGTTAGCTATGGCCTGGTGAGTCTATGTTTGATCTTTTTTAATAATTTTTGCAAACTCACAAATTATCTTTTTTTTAGCATGTGTAGTTTCTTGTTGGTACCATTTGTTCTTAGGTGATATTGGGAGTGGTAATATTGGAAATAGTGATATTGGGAGTGATAATGTCAGAAGTGGTGATAGGAAAATAGATATATTCATATCAGATGTTTTAGCGAGAGATTCTGTATCAGATATAATGAATAAAAGATGTAAAAAATGCATAAAAATTGATGTTTATTATATTTTGTTAATAACTAGTATCTAAAAAATAAATTAGAAATAACCTGGAAAATAAATGAAGAGATAATAATCTTTTTGAAGATTAGAATGTAGAAGTGAAGAGTAATGAACAAAAAAATTATATTCATATGAACCCCGTTATTATGACATCATATTACTATTTCAG